GGACGTCAAAATCGACAAATTTTAGATCCACCAGGAAAATACTTTTTTATAGATTTTGACCTGTAGAATCCCTTTGTCTTAATATGGAAAACTATTAGGGACATTGTACAGTAATATGTAAGTAGGTACCTAATATACCCATTATTGAAAGCTCAGGTCTCTTGTTTGTAAAAAAATCCTTGGTGGGTTAATGTTATTATTGTTCATCTACAATAAATAATTTATCCCTTTCACACATTAGCCATATTTGAGAATCTTGGATATATTTGTTGTGATATATCAGTAAACACTACAACATACCGCCAACATTTAGGTAACACTACTTTCCCCTGCTGCATGAGGGCTTGTTTAATTTTAGTAGGTGCATAAAAAAGAATGTTTAGCCAATTTTAATGTAATAAAGTCTGGTACAACGCCCTATTTAGGGTAAAACCTTATAAATAAGGGTGCATAATTATTCACCGACATTTTTCTCCCTCACTGTAATAAGCATATTTGGCATTAATGTAATAAATTTAGAAAAAATTCTCTGGGTGCAGAAGCGCTCAAACATTGTAGTGCAATTATCAATAAACTTAAGGAATGTAATATTATAATGAGCGTGGGTTAAATTTTTCTCCCTTTTGGCATTGTTGTTCGCCCGCATGAGTTTAGAATGGATTTATAACTCGGCGCGTTTCATTAATAAATGAACAGAGGCGCGTAAAAATAGGTACCGAAAAATATAAGTAATTTAGATTAGACGAATGTTTACGATTCGAAATTTGCCTAATTTCTATCATTTCCATAATGGGCAGATAATTTTCGATAGAGTCGAAGTAAACAAATTAATTATAGCGCTAAATTCTTCTTTTTGTCACGCATTTGCGCGTATAACGTGCGGTGGGACGGCGGGTTTGGCTTTGGATGCAACAGGAATGGATTGCTTGGGACTTTAGTGAGTGTTGTAAACAGCTCAGCGATGATGGCGGCGATGTAGGGTTATTGAGGACATTGCTCTGCCGAATGCAGCGCGGTCGCGACTATTGAAGGACAAGAGAGTCCAAATTCAATGACCTAACTTTAGAGGGCTTTTAGAGGACACGCAATGCGTATGCAAGCCGGCAAATGGAGGGAGTTCGCTTAGCATCATCAATGTATCATGTTTAACAGACACCGAAGATTCCCCCCTAACATCTTGACCTTAAAACTTACTGTACTTAATATGTGCCAACCTACATTTCTATTCTACCGATTACACAACGCTACTAACCGAAAATTCTAAATTCTCTTCAAGCGCCTACCTACATCAAAGTGCACCATTCAAATACTTAGGAGGATTCCACTTGGTGTCTAAATGTGAATTATCGCATAGCTTTTATACCAGTTAAAATACGCCTTTCGGCACTGGTTTTCATAATGGGAATTAAATCACTCAAAAAATCGTAGCAATTAGAATTTAGAAAACCCCCAAATTATTCTATGAGATATTCTTTCAGCACCCGGCCGTGCAAATATTTGGTTTTGTTAACAGGTACATATTTCGGTTATTTTTTATTCGAAAGATTGTAAGATTCACATGTCCAGAATTTGAATTTAAATTTGTCCATTCCACATAGCGCCACCTATGCGAATAAAATTTTTAACGCGCTAAATTCAACGTCTTCAGCGACATCTCTTGACTACTAAATCTACCACGTTATTGATGCGTTACCACGCTTTTCAACTGGAATGCAACACCCCCCCTGTATTGGTTAGAAACCTTATGGACAATAGAACGCCATACTTATATGCAACACATCGTACAAGTTTGAACAAAAGTGGCCAAATAGTAAAGAGTAGAGTACCCATAGCATTGAATTTATAACTATCTATAAATTCAATGCCCATAGCATACAGATTCTTGGTTAGAATATTCGCATTCGATCATATAAAAAGAAAAAATGATTAGAAAGATAACTTCCAACTGCAATACTACCTACAGAGTATGGCACAAAGACAAAAAGGGCAGGTTTTAACGCCTTGCGAAATGATTGCTTTCCATATTTATCAATGAAAAGCTAAAGACCACGACTAGCTTGCTTTTTAAGTATGTGCATTATAAAACTGTATACTCCATAGATTATTCCTGATCCTGATACAAATTTCCATTGTGCGCTTTGTCCAAATAGAGTAGAAATTTTTTTAAATTCTTTTTCACGGATCACAAAAGAAACTAATGAAGATGTCTATCAAGTGCTTGTAGTTTTTGAAATGCCTCTAAACTTTTCTTCCATACACCATTTCTCATTCCAGCACAGTTTCAACGTTTTTTTGACTCGGTACTTATTATTCTGCGCCTCTTTACTTATTTTCCATTGCAAAACAAGGTTAAAGATTTTGTTGAAGCTCCGTATTATACACGCTACCGATTTTTCTCGAAATTTGAGTAATTTGTTTTTTAAAGCTTTGTAATTAATGAAATTTAGGTGTCCCCCAAGGCGGAATTGCAATCGTGATCCTGGGACGGGTATTTTTCCGGGTGGATCTGAGAAAATATTTTTTTCGGGGCAAAAAATCGACTGCACCAAAATTTCTCGGGAAAACACTTTTTCTTATTAATTTTGGTGCGTAGAATCCAAAACAATTCGTACTTTTTCGATCAGACTTCTCAATCAAAAATTATAGACTAGAAACCAATTTCGTAAGAAAATTCAAAGGGCTGTAACTTTTGAACTAGTAGCCATACTTGGAACTGTTTGAAATTATGGATTCTACAGGCCACGTTCTATAAGAAACATTTTTTTCTGGGTCGATCTGAGACAATTTTTTTTTCCGGGGCAAAAAAAAGGCAGTGTATAATCTTCCTTTTTTCCAAAAATCGACTGCACCAAAATTTCTCGGGAAAACACTTTTTCTTATTAATTTTGGTGCGTAGAATCCAAAACAATTCGTACTTTTTCGATCAGACTTCTCAATCAAAAGTTATACACTAGAAACCAATTTCGAAAGAAAATTCAAAGGGCTGTAACTTTTGAACTAGTAGCCCAATCTTGGAACTGTTTGAAATTACGGATTCTACAGGCCACGTTCTATAAGAAACATTTTCCGGGTCGATCTATAACCCTGGGAAAAAACTACGAGCAAAGCCATCTAGCTTTCAAGCCGAATCTCGATCGCAGCCGGCTAGGGCCGGGTGGCACAATAGGTTCTAAGTTGTGATATTGGTTGTGTTGGGAGTTTAAGACGTGAGACATAATTGGGAAAGGAATTCAATAAAACGCAGAATTTTGTGCGTAACAAAAGAAAAGAATAAATAAATATATTACGCCTACAACAAGGCGATACCAGGGAAACCTTTGAGACAAAAACCCCACACAAATGAATGAAATAAATCAACTATATCAACAAAACGCAAGAGAAAATGTGTGAAAAAAATCAGATAATCGAATCAGTTACAGTTAAACAAATTCAAAGAAACAAACACAAGAGACATCATAAATGCAAGGGGAAAACGCGATAAATCAAATCAGATAATCAAGTCAAATGCGTTTAAATAAAAAAAAACAAAGCACAAGACACATCATTAAAACAAATGGAAAACGATAAATCAGATCCAGTACTAACGCATCTACGGGTCAATTTAGGCAAAACACGTCGTAAAATGGTAAACTGCAGCACGTACAAAAAAATATCACGTCAAAAGCATAGCATCGACGTCCATTAATTTAACACGAAAAGTGCGTATGTGTAATGCCCATAGTAAGTATGCATGTTAAAGTTTTAGAAGAATATTTATTAATATAAAAACATTAATTTAGAAGAAAAAAATAATGAACCTCAATTCTATACGATTACACGGTATCTACCTTGATCTATTGTCGACTGTAGTTGTAAAAGGGGCATGACAGATAATTAGCGACCGTCAACAAGGTTAGCGAATCAAAAATACTGTTTCGGTGTAACAGAAAGAGTCTATTCGTCATACTTGAAATGGCAAATGGCTTGTACCGACTATGGAACCATTTATAATGTGGTTGAATGTTGCGCAGAACTAGTTTGCGTAAAATTCTCTAGTAATCAAAAAGGCGAGGATGTTGAGACCATCAAACCTGGGGCGCTCAGCACTCAGCTTTAAGACCTATTCACATTATCGGCCCGGTCACGTTGCAATCACGGTCCGGCAATAATATACGAGTATTTCTATTTTTTCTGCATGCTTTTTTGGGACACCCTGTATAGGTACAAAATATGCACAATGCAAAAGCAAAATCGACAGGTCCGCACATATTTACGAACGCGCCTCCGTTTCTTGTTTATTGAATTTATGTGTTATTATACATCACAACCCTGTATGTATGTATCCTTTTACCAATCTTCTAATTGTATGTTTTTTATCAATTATAATTAGTCGATGCAACATAAGAAAAAAAAAGGGCCCCAAAAATTCTCATTGCTTAGGGACGCTCAGGGCATTAATCGGGCCCTGGGTGCAGGTCACATGCATGGACGACTAAAGTTGCATGCGAACAGTTTTTAATATGCAATTCAGAGGTAAAATTACCCTTGCAGGCTAAAGAAGATTTTTTGTTGAAGTAGGTATACGTCGGTATAATAACGAAAATAGCTTTCTTCCCTTTTTCGTAATTATCTGATGTATTTGTAATTTTTGGCAATCATTTTCAGATTCCTTATATTTATGGTTAAACACACTCACAATCTTTTTGATTTTTGTTTTTGGTGTACTACATGATTTGATTAATAGCCAATTTGTTACCGTTTGTGTTTATTTTTCAATTAAACCTTGGTGCAGACTGCATTACTTTGGTAATAGACTCCATACTGCCTACCCATTTTCCAGGATTACTGGGTTACAATGTACATACTTTTAAATCACTAAACACGAAAAGTGTACTTCAATCAAAGAATGGTTACTCTTTGCTTCAATTATTTACGATGATTCAGAAAGTGCTATTAATTTTCTTCAAGTTGTACGATGGGTTGCCATCCTCCAGTTCGACTAATCTGGATATGAACGCGACCAGAGACAAAACATTTGTTTGAATCCCTCCATAATCCAATCACACCAAAATAACAAAACTAAAATTAGTTACTTTCTTTTAGTGACATTAAATTCCTTTGCAGGTATGAAATTGTATACATTTTCTTAAAATCTTGAATCATCTTATAAATTTTTAAAGATAAATACACAAATTGCGTATGTAACATTTAGTTTTCGATTCATGTATCACTTCAAATTATTATTTTCTGTTCAATGATACGAGATACGAGAAATTTTTCTTTTTGTGGTTATGTCACGTCTGTTTTTACATTGTAGGCAAAATGGCCAAGACAAAAGGAGAAAAGAAGGGCAAGTCCGCTATCAACGAAGTTGTAACTCGTGAGTACACTATTCACTTGCATAAAAGATTGTTCGGTATCGGTTACAAGAAGCGAGCACCCCGTGCGATCAAGGAAGTACGAAAGTTCGCTGAAAAGCAAATGGGTACACCAGATGTGAGGATCGATACACGACTTAATAAGCAGTTGTGGTCGAGAGGCATCAGGTATGTTACAAATGCAAGCAAAATTTTGTTTGTTGTTAACTTGCGAGTACCTAATTAAAATTTCTTGATTGTCTGCAATTGTTTAAAGTTTATCTTACATTTTTCTCTTGTAATATATGTGATCTATTTTTGTAGGAATGTACCTTTCCGTGTTCGAGTTCGTTTATCCCGGAGAAGAAATGATGATGAAGATTCCGCACACAAGCTATTTACTCTTGTTACATACGTTCCAGTAGCAAGTTTCAAAGGTTTGCAAACAGAAAATGTTGACTCCAATCAGGAATAAACTATTTTTAAATAAATAAACACATGTAATACTAACGTTTTATTTGCGATTCTATTCCAGCCAAAGGTGCTACATTAAGAGTGCCTATCTTAGCGACCTTTTTTTACCGATTTATATTATAATTTCAAACAGAACTGGATGTGGAAGGTATCTACCTAAATGTTTCCTCTCATATATAAGCAGGGAGGGTGTTTGTTTTTCCAAAAAAGTCAATGCAAACGATTTTACCCTTTTAAATATAAAGTCGGACCTTTTTAGAAACTTATATGAGCATTTTACAATACCTGCATACATCCTTTAACGTAGAGGCGAAAGTACTGGGAAAATTACGAGAACCCAACAACAACTTCAAGAATTTAAGAGATGGTCAGGAAAAAGTTGAGCTAAGCTCGAGGCAAATATGAAGAGAATTTGAAAGCTATTGAGTATTTTAAGGGATTTTGAGATATGTAATTGAAAGAAGTTGTAAGAGGAAATAGAAATTAGGAAAAGTTTTGGGGAACGTAAAGTCGTAAAGAGGATTTATGGTGAACTCTAATTCAGAAATATAAAAATGCAGAATAACAATACTGGTAAAAAGTTGTGTATAATCATAAGTTCTTAGCTTTAATCTGGCCAGAGAAATACAAAAATTTGTCCATATAAAATATAATAAATAACAGAATGTATAAATTCTAAAACTAAATTAACTTTGATGGTACAAAGTGTTGATAGTAACTTCGGGTAAATTCAATCATTAAATCTTGTTGGCATTCGGGTACACTTCCGATTTCCATACCAGGTGATCCTCCATATCTGGTAAATGGAGGAACAACCGTTTCAGGTGCAATAATAGTGTTGTCTTCTATTACACAACAATCCTTTAAAACACATCGACGGCCCTCGAATAAGACATAAATTGCCAAAGCAGGAAGTCAGAATTAAAGATTACTTACAATTACTACATTTTTACCTATGTAGACGTACGAACCCACAGTAGCTGCATTCACAATTGATCTCTCACCAACAAAGACATGATCACCTACCGCCATGGGAAAGAAAGCAACCCTAAAACGTACCGAATTACTAACTGAAAGCTGCAGTTCAATACACAAATACCCTTTACTAAATTTTTTGTAGGGCGGTCTGATAACCGCTTCTTTACTAATAATGCAATACCTTCCCGTTCGAACATTAGCCAGATCACCTCTGATAATAGCATCGGATTGAATTATTACTTTGCCTTGCAATACGATATTTTGAGAACCACATAGTACAGTTTGACGACTCACTTTATTTCCAGAAGCCTATGATTTTATTATATCTAAATGAGTGTAGTTGAAATGCACTTACAGTTTCAACATATTCACTTTTATTATAAGTTATATCTTGTAGTTCCATCTTATTTTGATTTAATTAAAATTCCTAGAATTAATTCATTTTTGACGTTTAATCTTAACCTCACTTCGTTTTCAAAATAATTCACTATTGGCTATGGCCGTGGCTAAATGACAGCTGCTCTGTGTTTATGCACCATACACATACATACGGTATGCTCATAATTTTTCTCAAACGCGTTTTCTACTGCGCATTACGTCACCTGCGAACGTGTGGCGCCAAAATTCAAATGTTTACGCACGATCCAGTACACATGTCACGCGTGACAGTTTGCAACTGATCAGTTGTATGTACGAGCTTTAGCGTTAATTTGTTGATAGCCAATTAAATAAATTAATCGTTAGTAAAAATTCCAAAATGCCAGGTTGTGTAGTGGCTCAATGGGGTAATCCTAATAGAAAAACAAAAGGAAAAGCATTACTCCGCTTCCGGTAACTGTAATTTTTACAAATTGATAAATCTCCTATTTTCGTTTTGCAAATGATCAAGGTGTATTAAAAGGCTTGTAGATCACAATTTCTTGATTTGTGAATAAAAAAGGTAAGGCGACAGTCGATATCAGTCATTAGTCAATTTAACTATTTTTGCTATTAGCGCATAAAATTTTATTTCAATAATTAATAATAATCATAATTAGCACAAAAAGATGAATTATGATTTGATGTATGCGATAGAAGTGGAAATTTTTATCTAATAGCACGAAACGGTTCACAATTCGGGGTAAACACTTCCAAAAAAACAAAATTAATAAATAAAAGATGGGTTGTTTGCAGTTATTACTATTTTGGCAAACCAATGCGCCTTGACTGGATACCTGCAAACTGAAATTTACTTAACTCAATGCTTTTACTTTTTATTGCAAAAAATAAAACTACTTAGTTATACTAAAAAGTATATTGATATGTGGAATACATACAAAATAAATATCAAAAACTACAACTACAGTTAAGTATTGAACTTTGGTGTAAGTTATGTTACATTTAAAATACTTATTAAGAGTGCTAAACAAAAACATACAAACATGTAAATATTTTAAATGTACTGTTAAGTCACTAAATATAAAAACTATGTACAAATCAAATATACATTAAGACTAGATAACAAAATGAAACTCAAAAAACCAAAATTATATTTTAAGTATTTTAAATTAGTGCAATTCGAAACCTGTAATTTATTCATTATTAAACTTTTAACCTGTTTAGTGTATCAATCACAGAATGAGAGTAACCTAAGGATTATATATTATGGATTAAATGTAGTTTCTAATAAAAGCATTTCTTTCCCATTTTTAAATATATACATACTGCTAATACTGGCTACAAGAAGGACGTGAGAAAATAGTTACATATATTTAAATATGAAAAATTAGAGAAAATGCTTTCATAAGATCAATGAGATCGTAGTGTAGAATATATGTTAATAATTTAACCTTAACACTAACTATAGGCACTTTATTAAAGCACCTTAATCTTTTATCTATACTGGTAAACAATGAGATCATAACTTGTATTTTACTAGTTAACGCCAAGAAAAGAAATCCGCATGGCATGAGTACAACACTACTATCTAGTTTTTTGGTTTTGAATTATACTAATTTTATTATTAACAAATACAAACGGAACTAGACTTTCTATAAAATTGAAACTACATATCAATAACATGAACATTCGTTCAGACCAACTGGTGGCGTTTTACAAACATGCCAATTTTTATTCCAACTCGCAGGGGGGTCTCAACAAAACTTTTTGGAAAGATAACAAATCTTAACGTAACAGTGTTTAAAAATAAATGTTTTCGACGTCCGGCGGGGTTTCCGGCTGGCCATATTTCGGACTTTCGAATGCGGCGTTCGAACACGAGTTTGAGTTGGGATAAGTGTTGGCCTTTTGCGACGATGGCGGTATGCCCTTTTCGACCGCTTGGTCTATGAATACTCGCAGATTTTCTAAACTTTCGGGATCGACGTTGAGGAGGTTACATATATCGACGGTGGCGGTGGTGGTCGAGGACATGCGTAGCCCTCGCATGGCGGCGCAAATGCATGCGGAGGCGATTAAGGAGGGCGCCACCTGTATGAGGGCAGGTTCTGAAACAGATAAAGAAAATTGTAATCGCGCATTATAAGTAGTCATGGGATGTTTTTAAAAAAGGGCCGATGATTTCAAATAACAAAAAAAGTTGCTGTTGATGAAAGACAAAAGTAAAGGTTTTTTAATGTAGATTATAGTACGTTTACCGGACAACTTGGCCCTTTTCCGATTTAAATGAAGAGAAAGTTTTGTTTTACATAAATAAATTTTTAGAATTTCCGGATACAGCTGTCTTTAGCTTTTTTTTTTAAATTTTGATGAATTCCACGTGAGCTTTAAATGAGCAATTAAGTAAAGACGTAATGATTACGCTGTCAATATTAATTAAAGCACTTTGCATCTGACACCTGCACGTTTTTTAAGTTTCGCTATGCAATCGGTTTTGAATTGAAATACTTTTCATACATATTGACTTATTACAATACAAATTACAAGTGAACCAATTTAATGGAAAGTTCATGTCATAGGGTAATTATTTGAATCGTAATTACGCGTGGCAGGTGGCAGACAGTCGGTCAGGTAAAGAAGTTACCCAAGTCTGATGCTACCTTGCACCTTGCTCATTTTTTGATCATAGCATAACTTCCTACGATTACGGTGTTTAAATCACCTCGCTGTGCATCTGCTGCTGCATGGACCACGCCGTCCATCCACGTGATCAAAACAGTAATTTTACTATTAAAGCTCTCACGGGGCAGCCAAGCGTTATTTAATTAAATTCACGTTATAATGAGTAATCCGGTGGAAGTAGGTGCATAATTTATATACGCGAGCAAATTCTGATCTAAGACTGGATTAGTTTCGCTTTCAACTGGCGTAACCTTAACCTTCAAATTACGCAGACGAAAGTTCAATAGAAGAAGAGTTGACCACATGCCGTTTCCTATGACTATAAATTTTTCGTTTCACCTGCTCCCGTATACAACCGAGTTTTTCAATATCCAGATGTTTATAACAATTTCGAAATGACCTAATAGTACACTGAACCCGATCTCGTGCTCAATCTACGCCGGACTAAGCTAATTATTTAAAAATTATGCATTCTTATTTTATATTCGCAAATTATATCTTTTTCTGAATTGTAATTAACAGACATTTAACTGCAAAAAAAAATGCCCTTCACCTTAGACTTGAACTTGCGAAGTGTTTTGGACGGAAGTAGAATCGGACCTTTAACTAAATTGCCCTTTGGCTAAACTATTATATAAGAAGTTAAAATTGCGTGTTTCAACAATCAAGCTTTGAGCGAAAACTATTATCTCACCGCTTGGTAGTGCAAGACAACCTTGAATTGGTTACCCTTTTTCCACCTTCCAGAGCTTGCGGTTGTATGAACCTACCTTAAACCAAATTAAATTGTATGCGCTTGCACCATACCATATCTAAACAGATTGTTTTCGTGGCCACATACTTCATAATGTAACGTGTTACTATACTCCAAATCCAAAATTAAGTAAATGATTCTGTGTTCAAAAATTTGAAAATTGATCATTTTGAACCTCATTAAGCATCCGATCTTAAGAATTACTCAAATTACAGAGGTCAAATCAGAAAATCAAATGTTTTAAATCAATTTAAGTATATAGGGTGGGCCAATTGTTTGTGGACGGATCCTTGTGGGTTTATTAACGTATACAGTGTGGAAGTTATACAACGGCAAAGCCATGAAGTTTCATTTGACTAACCACAAGGGGTAATGATTTGAGTGGCGGTGGTGGGGGTATGGAAAAGTGGAAGTAGAGCAGATACATGACGTATTTTATGTTGTGTGGGTCATTTTGATGGAGAAGGAGGTAGTAGAGTGGTAAGACATTGGAAAAAGCTCAGAAATGTTTCACTCACAAAGCTCGATAGTTGTAAAATGCGCACCTGCGTAACGTTTGTTTCTTTTTCAGAATGCCAGAATACTTGTTTAAATAGTTTTTATTGTAAGAGAGCTGGGTGGCATTTTAGGGCAGGTATTTTAGGCAAAATGAAAATTTTCTTTCTATGATATCCTACAGCAAGCGTCAGACGAAACGTAGAAATGTTAAATAAATATAAAATTGAAAAAAATCTGCATCGGCCGGGAATCGAACCCGGGCCGGGTCGTCATATGAGAAGTTATTACCATCGAAGCATTGCGTTTAGTGGTTTTCACAAATGAGGATTAGCACTAAAAAACAGATTAACAATTGCATTTTAAGAAGTCCTGCTTCAGCCGTTTCTCCATGTTTTATTTGTAGGACGTAGTATTCTCAACTCCAACACCATAATGGGGTCGAACGTTACAAGTAAAAGAAATAAGAAGGCGTCTTATCGGTCTCCCCCTCCCCTTCTTCTCAAGCCTCTTTAAAGCACTGCCGCGAATTCTTCCAAAACAAAAAACCAAACCCCCTTCAAACTATTCCCTGTATTTCGTAAACGAGCCCTACTCCCACATAGCTTTATCATAGTTTTATATAAAGCCTGACAGTTTTTCCTCTCTATTGCCACCACCCAAGATCCATATACGTATCGATTCGAGCTATACCTCAAAAATCCTGCAGACGCGATGTTGTGTCTCCATTGTGTCTTTATTACTTGGTAATCGCTTGATAAACAAATTGTGCGAAGCGAAACACAGCGTGTTCACGTTCGATCGGAAATACAAAGAGATACTTGAATGCACTTAAAATGCAATTTGATCACATAGGTAGCTGTGCAAGTTTTGCATAAGCAACTTGGTCCTTCGAGCCGAATAGTTTTTTTTTCACTTGCTTGTACATTTCGGCGTTTATGTAAATAGAAAAATTTAAAATTACAAAATAGTCCAAACGCAGAAATAGACAGAAATTCGAATAAATGATGTCAGATTCTTTGGTCATTGATTCGCTTTTCTCCCCAATTAAGATTAAATGTTAATAATAATAGTCCTACTATGAAGATCGAACGCGCACTCGTTCAGTGTTAAATATTCAGAGCGTACCGGTAATTCGTCGCTTTCAGCAGCGCGGTGTACAACATTTTATTGGCTTTGCAAAACCATTTATAAAACATCATGAGGCCTAATTTATTAACGATTCCTATTAATCAATTTTCAATCAAGTTTTGACAATTATTGCACAGCAACAAAATTCCAAAATCACTAATTAATTGCCTGTTTGTAATCACGATCGTTAATGATAGTCGTGACAGTAAGTAGTACCAAAAGATCCGCGTGAGGGCGGAAGAAAATGAAATTTTCAATAATTTTCTATGTATGTATTGTAACGTAAATTTAACTACGTGATTTATTTATTTACAATTAATTAACAATACATAGATAACAGTCTTGAAATGGATTAAGTTACAACAGTAATTATATTTATCACTTAAAATTTATAACATAACACGAACGAGAGCTTAATACCTCACTTCGCATCGTTGTTAGAACTGACTAATAACACGCGATTCAATTCCTTAATATTGCAAGCGCCGGTCTTTCACGACCGCTCTCGAACGTTCTAAAACATACGCTCTCGTTTCTGGTCGCCGATTGGCGCTTCGATGTCTATCGGGATTTCTAGAATATTCGCTACAATATGTCAAGCTTGGTAGGTGTTTATTGTTATTAATTAAATGACGTTTTACCAGTAACCTGATATCTTATTTGAAGAGTTTGTGAAAGATTTAAGACGGATTTTCCGATAGGTACTCCCGACGTTACAGCCCTTTGAATTTTTTGTCGAAATTGGTTTCTAGTCGATAACTTTTGATTGAGAAGTCTAATCGAAAAAGTACGAATCGTTTTGGATTCTACGCACCAAAATTAATAAGAAAAAGTGTTTTCCCGAGAAATGTTGGTGTAGTCGATTTTTGGTAAAAAAGGAAGGTTATACACTGCCTTTTTTTAAGACCCGAAAAAACATTGTCTGAGATCGACCGGGAAAAAACATTTTCTTATAGAATGCGGCCTGTAGAATCCACAATTTCAAACAGTTCCAAGATTGGACTACTAGATCAAAAGTTACAGCCCTTTGAATTTTTTGTCGAAATTGGTTTCTAGTCTATAACTTTTGATTGAGAAGTCTGATCGAAAAAGTACGAATTGATTTGGATTCTACGCACCCAAATTAATAAGAAAAGGTGTTTTCCTGAGAAATTTTGGTGTAGTCGATTTTTGGTAAAAAAGGAAGGTTATACACTGCCTTTTTTTGAGCCCCGAAAAAAAAATTGTCTCAGATCGACCCGAAAAAAAATGTTCTTATAGAATGCGGCCTGTAGAATCCATAATTTCAAACAGTTCCAAGATTGGGCTACTAGTTCAAAAGTTACAGCCCTTTGAATTGTTTTTCGAAATTGGTTTCTAGTCTATAACTTTTGATTGAGAAGTCTGATCGAAAAAGTACGAATTGTTTTGGATTCTACGCACCAAAATTAATAAGAAAACGTGTTTTCCCGAGAAATTTTGGTGTAGTCGATTTTTGGTAAAAAAGGAAGGTTATATATACACTGCCTTTTTTTGAGGCCAAAAAAAAAATTGTCTGAGAACGACCGGGAAAAAACATTTTCTTATAGAATGTGGCCTGTAGAATCCACAATTTCAAACAGTTCCAAGATTGGGCTACTAGATCAAAAGTTACAGCTCTTTGAATTTTTTGTCGAGATTGGTTTCTAGTCTATAACTTTTGATTGAGAAGTCTAATCGAAAAAGTACGAATCGTTTTGGATTCTACGCACCAAAATTAACAAGAAAAAGTGTTTTCCCGAGAAATTTTATAAAATACCCAAGTGAAATAATCGAAGTGAAACACAGAATGTTTATTTCAAAGCAACCAGAATATACAGACATGACTTCCATAAAACACACCTGAAAATAATTGGCAAATGAGAAGAGCACAAAATGTAATTGGGGCTTACTAATGCAATGTGATTTTCCACGTCACACATCAGCAGATCAAATTTGAAACACCGTCCAAAAATAGTAAAATTCTATAACTTTTAATTTTTGGACTAATGGTAATAATAATAAGATCTACAATGCGATTTACAAGGA